TTCATATGAGTAAAATATAGAATAGTTGGATTTATATGTCATAATAGAACCCACTGGACCAAGCTTTACTTTCTTCCTGACTGAGTTTTTAACTCTTCTTTTTCCTTCATTGCCCTCTGCTTGAAGTTGTTGCATCTTTGCATTATGTTCATCTAGTATGTTGCAAATTTCCCATGTCCTTTTTGCCTTTTGGCTCTGGTCGCCCATCTCAGGTAACCTATATCCTAGAAAGAGTTTGTCATAGTCTGTATTTGAGTCTTCGCGTATTGTTTGCATGACTCTTTCCTGAGTTTCCGGTTCAAGCTCTTCAAACAGTGCCTGTCCATATGGAATATGCTCGTTTCCAAATATATGTTTTTGTAGCCATTCTGGTTTTCTTTCCATGTTACCAACTATATCTTTTGTGAATGGGAAAGCTTTTACCCAATCTTTCAGTCTTGCGTCGTTTATTTCTGTAGTTGGTTTTATTTTGTCAAGGAACATGTTTTTCAATACTAACATTTCATTTGGTACTGTCCATTTGAGTTTTCTTAAATATTCATCCCTTCTCGTTCATTGTCTGCAAAGTAAGTTTTTATGACATTTTGTAAACTTTCGTTTGCAAGGTCATGTACAATAGGTTCTCTTCCTTCTCCCTCCCTAACTTTCTTTCTAAACTCTTCACCAAATATACCATCTCTATGGTTCTGTGTAGTTCTTTGAGATAAATGTTCTAGAACGTCAGGTGTTATATTTCCATCAGCCATGTTCATTTCATACTGGTCCAAAATATCTGCATGTTTCATATCTTTCAATGGCATTAAAGCCGCGCTTAAAATACCAGCTATATCTGGTTCACCATTGACTTCCATTGCGTCTACAACTTCTTGGAATTGAGGTTGTAAGTTTATGAACCACCTATCCGGGTTAGCTTTATGACCCCATCTCATTGTAGTTCCATCGTCTGCAGAAACAAAAGTAGGTTTGTTTCCATCTTGGTTAGGTTCTGAATGAACTTTAAACAATGTTTCATTTCTATATGTTTTCTTGAAATTTAACCTTTTATTTTCACCGAGTTCATCCGAAGATTGAACGTTAAATGCTCGTAAGTAAAAAGGGTTGTTGTATTTGTGTACATTTTTTTTCAGTTCTTCCATTCTATGCTGGATATTTTCATCTGATGTTGGAGTCTTTTGTATGTCGGCAAACATTTTTCGATATTCTTCTACTATGTCAGCCGAATTTTTTTTAGACTCTTGAAATATTCCATATTCTCCGCATACTCTTGTTGAGGGTCAAGATTTTTCGCTGTTCCAAATCTTCATCTAGTTCTGTGAAGTTAGTTTCCAAAGGAAGGACTTGTTCGTTTCCTTCAGGCTCTTCTAGCTGTTGTTGCTGAACTATTTCTTCCATGTCTGGTTGTATCTGAACTTCTTCCTGTGGAGTTTCTTGTACCTCATCTGCTGGCATTTCATATATTCCGAGACCGTTTTCAACAATTTCCCTATCTACGTCATCCGCATTCATAAGCTTTTGTTCTTTCGTTCCGTCTCTATTTTTTACGCGTTTCATGACGAAAGTTGAATTGTCATTTAGCTCTGACATCAAATATCTCGGAGTAAATTCATCCATGTCATTTGGATGATATGCTATTAAATCATATCCCTTAGCGAGCTTGTATTTTCCAGGTTTGAGATTATATCCGTTTTGGTGCTGAGCCATAAAGCTAAATAGGTTCGGGTCAGTATTTCCATCCTTGAACTTTCTAATAGCTTCTTTATATCTGTCACTAAAGTCAACAGTATCTGGGAAACCACACTTTCTTTAAGCATTTTTAAGAATTCTTGGTTTCCTTGTTCTCTACTTCTTTTATGTCCTTGCTCTGTTTGTGGTTGTTGTTGTGCAGGGTTTTGAACTGTTGGTTGCTGTGCTGGTTGTTGTGTTGGTTGTTGTGCTGGTTGTGGAGGTGGTTGTTGTGCTGGTTGTTGTGCATGCCTGTGTCTGTGTCCATGTGACGATGTAAATGTTCTAGGTAGTCCTGGTGCAGGTGCTTCTCTTGGAGGGTTTGGTGGTATATAAGTTCCACCAGCTGGCACATATGTTCCATCTGCAGCGTAATGTCCTACCTGACTTTTCGTTTTTAAGAAAGCATTTACTAGGTCTGTTTTGGTCTGTTGTAACTCTTTTTCTTGACTTTTCACAACAGTTGCTCTAACGGCGTCATAGGCACTTTGAACTGCCTGTCTCGTTGCTGCATCTGTTATTTTCGTCATATTTTGTGCTACTTCTTTTAACTCTTTGTCGAAACCTTCAGACTTCAGTTTCTTTCCAGATGAGAAATCGTTCACTTGTTTCACCTTACTATGAAGAGCTTCGAAGGCGTTCTTAAAGTCAGCATTTGTTAAAACTTCATTTGAACTGTCTTCATCCGCTTGTATTTTTGTCCTTATTGACCCTATGAGTTGGGCTGCTTTAGCGTTGGCTTGGGCATCTAACCAGTCATTGTTAGCTTTTATATATTCTGCGCTTTTCATTGCCTTTTGCATAGCCGCGTCGTTATTTTTACTTTCTTGTGCTAAGTTTTCATACTGTACGGTTTGGTTTTGCAACTGTAAAAGTTTTTCTGCCTTTACAGTTGCTTCAACTTCTTTTTTATACTCATCGCTATCCATATATGTCTTCAGGGCTTTTTGTTTTATCTCTTCATCTTTCAGTACTTTATATTGAGTAGTATGGTTTTTCAAATTTATGACATCTTGTTCCATTTTTGCTACTTCTGCTGCTTTTTCTGACACTTTTTTTGCATATTCCTCTGTACTTAGTTCTTTCAGTTGTTCTTCTTTCTTCTTTTTCTCTACGTTTAACTCATTGAGTTTCTTTGTGTGTCTGTCATATTCTAGTTTCTTTTCGTTTTCACCTATTTGCTTCTGTATGTCTATGTTTGACTTTTTGACATCTGTTATTTGATTTTTGAGTGAACTCAAATTCATTTGACTTTGAGGGTTATAGGCTGTTCCGTCTGCAGCTCCACCATAGCCTGCCATTTTCGCTAAAAGTGCCGCTCTTAAACCTCCACTCTGTGCACCAACAACTCGGTTTAAAAGCATAGGATTGCTTGACATTTGTTGCAACATAGTGGGGTCATTCAGCATTTGTTGTTGCAACTGTTGTTGTGGTGTCAGTTTTACTATTGGATGTTTCAATGCTCTCTTCCTCTTACGTATATTCTTACGTAGCTTACGTGGCATTTTAAGTGAAGTTAAAAAGCGGCTTTTGACAGACGTTTTATTGTGACTTCTTCGTAAAGACTTTGTTGAGATTTCTTCGTAAATGAGTGTAAATGACCCAAAAATATATTTTAGGGTAGAAGGGTATATCTACCCCGTTTTCTACCCTCTTTTCTACCCTCTTGAATTTTCATGAATTTCTTCGTAAAGACTTTGTCAAGACTTCTTCGTAAAGACTTTGTTAAGACTTCTTCGTAAAGACTTTGTTGAGACTTCTTCGTAAAGACTTTGTTAAGACTTCTTCGTAAAGACTTTGTTGAGACTCTTCGTAAAGACTTTGTTGAGACTTCTTCGTAAAGACTTTGTCAAGACTTCATCGTAAAGACTTTGTTGAGATTTCTTCGTAAATGACCCTAGTAGTATATTTTTGGTGTAAATTTCATGAAAATTCAAGAGGGTAGAAATGAGGGTAGAAAACGGGGTAGATATACCCTTCTACCCTAAAATATATTTTTGGTGTAAATTTCATGAAAATTCAAGAGGGTAGAAATGAGGGTAGAAAACGGGGTAGATATACCCTTCTACCCTAAAATATATTTTTGGGTCATTTACACTCATGAACTTTCTTGTCTATGTTTTGTTAAGATTTCATCGTAAAGACTTTGTTGAGATTTCTTCGTAAAGACTTTGTCAAGACTTCATCGTAAATATTTTGTCAAGACTTCATCGTAAATGTTTTGTCAAGACTTCATCGTAAATGTTTTGTCAAGACTTCTTCGTAAATGTTTTGTTGAGATTTCTTCATAAAGACTTTGTCAAGACTTCTTCGTAAAGACTTTGTCAAGACTTCATCGTAAATGTTTTGTCAAGACTTCTTCGTAAATGTTTTGTTGAGATTTCTTCATAAAGACTTTGTCAAGACTTCTTCGTAAAGACTTTGTCAAGACTTCATCGTAAATGTTTTGTCAAGACTTCTTCGTAAATGTTTTGTTGAGATTTCTTCGTAAAGACTTTGTCAAGACTTCTTCGTAAAGACTTTGTCAAGACTTCATCGTAAATGTTTTGTCAAGACTTCATCGTAAATGTTTTGTCAAGACTTCATTTATACTCATTCATCCTCAGGGCTAGAAGGCACGAAGTGCCTGGAAGCCCCACTACCTTTTTTTTTTTTTTTTTTTTTTTTTTTTTTTTTTTTGATCCTCGTATATTAAATTAATTAGGGATATAATTTATTTCCGATATTCTTCCACCGATATCAAAATTTATCTATCTTTCTTTATATATATGTTACAATATCTGTTAAAATACAAAATGCATATTATCAATATTTTCAAACAAAAATAAAATAGCCGCAAATATTGAAATTCAATATCTTTTCAAATATTTTTTGTTAATTTAATGCATAAGATGTTTTCACTAATATTATTCTTCTTTTAAAAAATACTTTCAATTTTTGTGTAATATTCAAAAATTCATTTTTATCAGGCTATCAAAACACATTATCTATATATTTCAATTTATTTTTGAATTTGTATTCAATCTATAACTCTCACAATATATGTGCTCAGACAAAACATTCTTCGAATTCTATCAATCTTCTAGCTACAGCATTTTTGAAATTGTGCAAATTCAATACCATCTCAAAAATTCAAATCAATTCAAAATGATAGGTCTATTTTTCTTTTCGAATATTCTCTATTTAGTATATCGGTCTAAATGGTCACTACGTTGTTTCAATAATATTCAAAACTCATGTTTTTCTGATACCCGCAGAATTCATTTTTCATTATTACAATGAACTATAATGCACCACTCTCTCCAATTGATCACAAACAACTCAAATCACTCAAGGAGCTTCTTATTGGAGAAGTTTTAAAGACCAAAAGAGGTATTAACACAGTAGTTTTTTCAAAAAAATTAGAATTGCTCAAAGATTTTTGTATTCAAGGAAGCTCTGATGACATCAAAAGGTGCATTGCTTGCGGGATAATTTGGATTCCTAATGGTGTTTTTATCTGCGTTCAGAGATTAAGCCAATTACTTGGGAAGTGCAAATCCTCTGTTAATGGCTCTTTCCGTGCCCTTGGGTATATGAATATAAACTCCCAGAAAATAGTTTCAAAGCACCTTTCTGACATTTTGAACACTTACCAGTATAAGGGATTGGATCTCAAAGAATGGTCAGTTAGAATAAATATGAACAGACAAGAACCTCAAGTTTACATGATGGCCGATCCAATCGAGAAAATAGTTCCTGAGTCAAACGACTTCTGGGATATCATTGATTCCCCAGAGTTTGATTATGCGAATTTTACTTCTTTTAATTTTTAATTTTTTCCTGTTCTAAATTGTTCATTTCTATTTGTTATAAATTTTAAATTTTTTTTAATTCAGATATTTATTCTGATCTTCTTTCAAAAAAAAAATACAAAAGCGATGTAAGTGGTGCTTGTCTCTAAAGCCGTTAGAGGTAACTTTGAATGTTGCCCTTATTGTATGTGGACATTGTGATATGTGGCTTTCTATTACACATCATGCGTATAACATGCACTGGATAGCAAAAGTTAAATATGAGCAGGCAAGAGCCTCGAGATTTTTTTTTCCATAAAAATTTTTTTAATTTCAAACAAAGATCTTCAAATAATCTAGCAACAATATCCATGCAAACAATACAGGAAGGAAAAGTATCATTGTCCAAAATATCATTTGTGTTGCTGTTTCTGATCCATCTCCATTATTTTCGGCCATAAAATAGCATGAAAAAACGCATGGCAAGGTTGTCATTAACAAACAGCATCTGCAAATTGCAGATTCCAAATGGAATAGCCATGCCATTAAGCCGTTTATCATAGGGAATATAAAAAACTCCAATAAAATACTAAAAATAAAACGTTTCCAATTTCGAATCAGTATATTATGACTTGCAACAAATCCTCCAATACAAAATAACGTTACACAAAGAACTCCATCAGCACCTATCTTTACAATTCTTGCAAAATATGTAGGGACACCTTTTCCAACAACAGAGAAAATTAAACCAGTAATCATTGACAAATTAATAGGTGATGTAAATATATTCCATAAGATACCAGTAAAAAATGTAGATTTTATACTTTCTCTTGGCTCATGGTTCGAGTCATGAAATTTATTGATTAAATAATGATTAAAAAGTCCGGCCTCAAGGAAATACATTGGTGCAATAATTGTTTCATTGCATAATATCATCATCGATACGAAAATAAGATTATCCTTTCCCCAAAGTGCTCTAAAGATTGGTATTCCTATTGTGATGTAATTCACATACGTTGCAGGCATAAGAGTTGAAATGAAAATCTGTCCCTCATTAATAGATGGGAATAAGAACATTATCGAGAACAATAAATGCATAATAACGTGTGAAATAGATAGAATTATGAATGGATACATGTTGTAACCGCTGAATGTTTTGTAAGCAGGAAATTTGAATAAAAGAACAAAGAGAAATGATTGAAAATTATATTTATTCAGCATTGGAATCTTTTTCCATGGATAAAGATTGCTTTTTACACATATAAATCCCAATATCATTGATGTTACAAGTGATGAACCTACACATGCAATATGATTCAAGTCGTAAGCCATTATGAATGATAAGAAAACCTTTATCAAAAAATCTCTGAAAAAGTCAGTTAGATGCTTCTCAATATTTTTTTCAATTTACGATTCTCAATTTGCCATAACTACATTGGGAAACTAGTCAAATTGAATATTCTAATGATTTGCTTATCCGGATACAAATTTTCAAAGATATCATGGCCGCATTTTAAATTAAATTGACTTAATTCTCACTTCAATAAAGTTAACAATTTCTAATTTTCGTAAATTTATAAAAAACGATGCTAATTGTGATGTTTTTCAATTTTTGTGGAGGCATTCATTGAAATTGATAGACGATTTGAATGTTGTGATTAATCAAATCATCAATGTTTTATAACAAAATGAGTATATTTGAATAATCTATCAATTACTTAAGAAATCAATTTTTGAGAAGATATTGAAGATATTTTTTTAGATAAATTCGATTTTAAGTTATAAAAATGATTTGATTAAGGATGTCAATTCGGAAAATTGTTTTCATTTTAGGAGAATATAATTTTCCTTTTGGAAAATTTAAAAAGTGAGACGCGCAGGATTCGAACTTTTTAAAAGTTGATTTAAATATATTCTAGTGTGATTTCTAAGGATAATATCATATTTAAAATAAGAATATGTTGTAAACAGAAATTCATCAAAAGTGACACCTCAGAAAAGCTAAAATATTGAATTTTTGGAACTTTTGATAGAGCACGTTTTTAAATATTAATTAAAGTAAATGTATATTTTGTAAAGATTCTTTTTAATAAAAAAGCAAAATTTTGAAGAAGAACACAAAATCTTCTGAAAAATAATATCACATAAACTCATATTATTTTCTAATATATAACTATTTTATATAAAAATCAAATTCAATGATCTGAAAAGCGAAGGATAAACCTCAAAATTTACGAATATAATGAGTGGGAATATAATGCTTATCTATCATAAAACCATATGAAATATCAATTTTTGCTTTACGCCTATTCCCACTCATTATATTCGTAAATTTTGAGGTTTATCCTTCGCTTTTCAGATCATTGAATTTGATTTTTATATCAAATAGTTATATATTAGAAAATAATATGAGTTTATGTGATATTATTTTTCAGAAGATTTCATTCTATATGCCTATGAAAAGTACTCTCAAAACTAACTTTTTCCTAATTATAATTAAATCTAGAATATTGTATTATGCTTAGTATTATTTCATTTTTCTCATTCAATTTAGAATTTACAAATGTCAAAAAATTGAGAGCTGTCACTTTTGATGAATTTCTGTTTATTACAAATATACTAGTTTGGGTGGTATAATTTTTTCGATAAATTTGAGAATATGTACGTTTAGGGCATCAAAAGTGTCAATTCGCTCAGCGAAAGCTGAGCTAGCTTCGTTCTCGAAAGAATAGGGAAGGAGTGAAAGAGAGTGATACAGATGTTGACACATTCATATCATTTCAACAAATTTTGATCAAATTGAAATTCAATAAAATTCAATTCAATTCATATCCTTCAGTCAGTACATTGATATCCTTCTGCATCACAATGATAACTCGGGCATCAATAGTTCTACAACTAACTCAGAAAAAACAAGATTATTACTTCCAGCTTACAGCTTTTAAAAAGTTTCGATGATAAAAATCACTCTACTCTTGTTTATCGATATGTTGTGATAGTAGGTAAACGTATTCTTATCGATATTAATAAAAATATTTTTACGAAAATCTGAACCAATTACAGAGTTATTCATAAAGTTTATGATAACTGTAATTACTTCATCTTTGTTTTATATTTGAATAAACAATTTAATTTAATTTAATTTGCATAATTTTTTTTAGTTGAAAAACAGGAAACTTATTTGAGTTTGTATTATTTTTTATCGTTCAATTCATTGTATCAGTGAGTGATCCAGATATTTAAGATATTTAGAAAAAATTTATTAATTTGATTAACAAATTTTAATCAAAATAGCAAAAATCTATTTGATAGCTGTAAGCAAACAATAACTTTTATTTCAAGCAAAATCACTTATTTTCATCTAAAAGTATAAAATTGTCAATTTTATGAGAATAAATTTAAAATCTCATGAAATATAAAGAAGAGTAATATTTTTCAATTTTCTTTTTTTCTTTGTCTCAAATATTTTCTGTTGGGAATTTTCTTGTTATCAAAAAATAATTTTAATATTTGTTTATTTCATTACATACAATAAAATTTTAAAAACTCTATTTCTTCACAAGAAAATTTTTTTCCTTCATATGAAGAAACATTTTGTTCTCCATTTGATGCTGAGTCTAAATCTTGATTTTTGAATTTTCTTCTTTCCAAATTAGAAGTTTAATTCAAATTTTCAATAGTTTATATATTTTCTCAAACCGTCTTAGATTTTCTTACTTTTTGGGGATTTTCTCTCAAAATATACAAAAATAGTAATACCAATACATGTGTCTAATATACTTTAAAACCATCGTGATAAAATTCAAAAACGAAGAGATCTTCTCTCCAAATTTTTTTCAAAATCAAAAAAATGAGATAAAAAAATACGTTTGGAAATTCATTTTTAGCATTTTAGGAATTTTCTCACTTTTCTTCCAAATTGACATCCTTAATTTGATTTTATATGTACTCTGCTTGCAACATAAAATTAGAATTTTAAGACGAACTTCGGAGTTATAAAAAATTATGATTTCAATTGGAAAAGTGACAATTACAAATGAATTCTATTATTAGTTATTCACCAATGTATCCTTTTGTGAAAGAGAATTATTTTGTGAAGGCGTTCAAATACATTTTTCAATGATTTCACTTAATACATTTGTTTAATATAATGTTTTATTATCATTTCCTGATGTTCATTATTAAACATTGATTTCTTTTTGAATATATAGAATTTGAAAATTGATAAGAAATTTGGCTTAATTTCTATACTCAGTGTACCCGGACTGATTAAGTGTCTATCTGTTTTTTGGCTATTGTATCATTATTTTGGATATAATATTTCAACATACTAACCTTGTTTTTATTCCTCAAAATTTCATCAGTCAGAATTTTTTAATTAATTATTATAATATCGTTTTTTCTTAACTGCAGCCAAAATGCTACATTATCAATTGTGTCCAATCTTATTCTTGAGAAAAAAATATAACAATTTAACTATTCCAAAGTAAATAGAGTTAGTATCTATGAATTTTTGAATAAATTACTATCAATATCTGTTCTGGATTGTCAAAACGTGGTTAATACAATACTATCAAATATAATACATTGCACGATCTGACAGCAGAAATCGAATCAGCGGAGCCAGAAGAATCAGATTACGTGTGGAAAATAGGTTTTGAACGCTTAGATAGGGCTAAAATGAGACTTTATGAGATGTGTTGTATAATTATAGTTTTTGCGATAATGTGTCATGAGATCAGAATATGAAGAGAGTAAATATGTATTATTGTCACAGGTTTATATGTGGGGATAGCTCGATAGAGTCTCTAAAAGAGATTAGTACGTGAGTAAGGCGATTTAATAAACAAAAGAAAGAAATAATTAAATTTTTTTTTTAACTTCGAAAAGATTGTATGAAAGTGTCTTTGATTGTAAGATACATTTAGATTGACAAGAGTGTATTGTGCACTCTTGTCGGTCAAACTTCCGCATTCAAGTTATGAATGCGGAAGAGTGTCTCATTCTGGGAGACATGCAGTGACAATGTCTCCGGAATGAGA